TAACAGAGAGAGAGAAAGAGAGATAGGAAGAGAGTCTAAATACAATTAGAAACAAAAAATGGTGACATTATAATCGATCCCACTTAAATACAAAAGATTCTCAGAGATTATTATGAACATCTGTATGCATGTAAGCTAGAAAATCTGGAAGAAATGGATAAATTCCTGAAAACACACAACCTCCCAAGATTGAATCAGGAAAGAAATGAAATTCTGAACAGACTAATAAGAGTCCCCCAAATTAAATCTGTAATAAAAGACATATACAAAAATAATTCCTAGGCCTCATGGATTCATAACTGCATTCTATCAAATGTACAAGGAAGAGCTAGTACCAATCCTATTGAAACGATTCCAAAAAATCAAGGAGACGGTACTCCTCCCTAACTCATCCTATGAAGCCAATGTCATCCTGAGACCAAAATCTGGTAAAGACACAACAAAGAAAATAAACTACAGGCCAGAATCCCTGACGAACATAGATACAAAAATTCTCAATAAAATGCTAGCAGAATACATCCAGCAGTACATTAAAAATATCATTCACCATGGACTTTTGCAACCCAGGGGTTGCAAGGTTGATTCATCATATACAAATCAATAAATGCAATCAATCACATAATCAGAACTAAATCAAGAACCACTTTATCATCTCAATAGATGCAGGAAAACATTAGATAAGAATCCAACATTCCTTCATGACAAAAACTCTCAACCATCTGGACATCAAAGGAACATACCTCAAAATAATAAGAGCCACCTATAACAAACCCACATCTAACATCATACTGAATGGGCAGAAGATAGAAGCACTCCTCCTAAGAACTGGAACAAGACAAGGATATTCGCTTTCACTACTCCTATTTAACAAAATATTGGAAATTCTAGTCAGAGCTATCAAGCAAGAGAAAGAAATAAAAAGTATTCATATAGGAAAAGAGGAAGTTAAATTTTCCCTCTTTGCAGATGATATGAATCTATATTATGCTTATTTTTACTTATAACCAAATCTCCAGCCAAATGTGATAACTAAGTAAAATGTTTATGACTCCGCCCAATAAGAGTGTTTTAAGGAATTTTTACCTTTTACCAAGAGATAGAATGAAGTTATCCATAGAAAATCTCCCATGAGGCCATAATATTGAGCTTAAGGAAAAGCATCAATGCAATAGAAGTAGTATGGCGTTACCTGTTCGTTCCAATTACTTGTGCCTTTATACCTGCTTCAGCCTGGTCCCAGATGTGCTAGTTCCAATATGTGATGACTTGTTGCTGTAACAGCTAGAAACACTGCCTCAATAAGTCTGATAATACTTGGTTCATGATGAGCAGTGCTTGTCATATAGTCAGTCACTTGGAAATACACTGTCAGGAATTCAGTCTCTGAAAATAACATCCTAGGATCTACTTTTTAAATAAAAAGCAGTTGTCTGTTGCAGAAGACAGAATTTTTCCCCAGAATCCTAAGGGTGAGTGCTGTTATTCATCTAACAGACTTTGAAAAATAATATACATAATATCCTTCTTTATTATGGGTATCTCAATTCCACTGGATTCCTGTTTCACACAGCCTGTGTGGCAAGGCAGCTTGCATCAAAGACTGTTCTTAGTACAGGGACTCACTGAAAACTGGAAATCCTGTGTAACATTCCAAAATTGAGTCAAAATTGTATTTAAAAAGCAACTTTTATATGTTGCCTCCATATTTCAATGATCTTGCAATTATTATGCCTCTTTCTCAATAGTGAGGAATACAAATAATGTGTGTTTTATGTAATGGGAGAATAATCTAATCTGTCCTAGAGTATTGGACTCAAAACCTGGATGATCTGGCAGATTTCTGAAAAGTTCTAAGGGTTATCTCTCACCTTCTTTTATGTCATTTTCTACTCACATGTCTAACAGCTGTATGTCTTCAATATAGTAGTCTAGCATGATATTCTATAGATTATCAAGGCCTTATTGTGACAGAGGTAAAATAATTAATAAAAAATTGGCAAATTGTAAATTTTTAGAAAGTTAGGGAGTGACTTGTGTGATATTTTTTAAAGTGTGAAAACTCCATAAGAAGATAGAGTTAAAAGGTTTTCTACAACTTTTTGTTGACATTAGTTCTTTTATGGTATCTTTCATGTGCTTGATCGCAAGTGAGCATATACTTGAATTTCAAAATATTGCAACTACAACATATAATGTGGCAAGGATCTTCTCTAAGGACAAGTATTTATGATGAAATATAATTTTTTTTTTAAAAAGTAAAACACCTATGGTTACTGTCAGATTCCCACCCACCACACCCTTTTATGTCCCTCTAAAGACCATCCTAAAGGGCCTTTGCAATCACCTACTCTGTTTTTTTTTTCCTCGAGGACTCTGTTACTCTGTGTTACTGGAAATTGTATCTCTGATACGTTCTCCTTTGTCCTATAGATAACTTGAATCATATTATTGCCAGTTGTTTATACTTAGTCAGTGGAACTAAAACTTCTTCACCTTTTATCCTAAATTGTCCTCTGGATGTACTTTCTTCACTGGCCATGAAACCCTCTATCTAGAGGTATATCACAACAGCTTCTTCAAATGGCCTCTGAACTATGTGTTAAGTTTCTGTTCCTAGATAGGATAATAGCTTATCTACTTAGTTCATGAAGATATAAATAGGGAGCCATACATACAGAGACTATATTAACCAGGTTAATGAGATTTTTTTTCTTTTCTTTATCCTAAGAGTAATCACTAAAAACAATGGAGTTTGAAGAGATTGGTGACCTGATCAAAAGCTAAGTAATCTGCTCAAAGTCATAAAATAGTAACATGATCAGAGTTTAAATCCAAGTCTTTTGACAATCAGCTCGAGACACTTTCCTTTACACTTCTGCAATTAACTAGAGCTATTCTCACATTTACTAAAATGTTCACTTCTTTCTCCATTTTCCTACAGTTAAAAGTATTTATCTGTCAATTTCTCAGTGGTTCAGGAAAAACCCGTAGAATCTGTGAACCAGACAGAAAAAAAATTATATCATCCTATTATTTTGAAATATGTGTATTTAAAAGACTTATTGCCAAACTATATTAATTTTTATTACAAACAAAACCTAAAATTGAATTCTGCCATACCTAATATCTCAATTCTAACCAAAATACAAAGTTATGTGTCTTTAGTATTCTCCTTTAGATAGAAATTAGATTAGAAATGCATTGCTATTAGTATTAGAGATGTCTCTTTTTGTTTTTATTTGAACTATAACAATTTGAATAAATTTTTGGAAAAAAAGACTTTAAAAATCTATGAACTCCTGACTTTATTTTAAATTTTTTATTATTGAATGCATGACATGCAAATGTAATAACAAAGTGACAGTGCTTCTGGTTTAGTAAGGATCTTGACTGAGGTAGGATAAAAATACAAGCTTTATATTTTCAAATTGAAAGTTTCTCAGGATGGATCTTTTAATGCAAGGCTGAATTTTTAATTATTAAATTTGTATACAATCATTAAGAATTACATGTTATACACACTTGTATTTTTTCTTATTACAGCACACTATAAGGTTCTTTATCACATTCCCCCCCAAAAATAAAAAAAATTTTTTGGAAAAACAAGTAAACAAAATAATAGCAAACAAACAAACAAAAACAAAAAAGAAACCTCTAGTTAGTCATGAATATAGTCACTCTGGCTTGGAGCAGAGAAGGAAATTTTAAACAGTTTACCAGTTGATATCCTCTACTTCAAAAAATGCCATCATTTCTTACATTTTGAAGCATGCCAAAAGATGAATTTCACTTCAGTTTATAAACAGATGAAACTACTGACATTTTTTGGTTCAGCTGGCTTCTGACTTTTCTCATTATTATTTTGTCTAAGATGCTTTTGAATGCTTCCAGTTGCTTCACATCTTCACAATGCTTAAAATTATATCTGTCAGACTCTAGTCAAGAGACAGAACCCACTGTGGTAATTTGAACAGAGAACTTTTAATATAAAAATTAGTAACAAGTAATAGGGATTAGCTACTAAAATAGGTATAAAAATCTCTAAAAATACCTCAGTGCTAAAGGAGAAAAATGAAGGAAGAAATAAATTTGGAAGGGGAATGCCCTGCTGAAGAGTTTCATAGCTGTTTGGAGAGGGTATGAAAATGACCTCCTGGAAGAGGGCAGGCTCTCTGGGTTGTCCTGGAACACAGCTGATACGCAGATAATGAACTGAAGGACAGGGAATTTAATATTGACACTAACAATAAAACTTGCAGAAGGGTGAGTATCATTGAGTGGCCTGAACATTAACCACTGAAAGTTGCACTGTAAGAACAAAAAAAAGAAGCAGTACAGACTAAAAACTTGTTATTGAAATGGTTCAGCTTTCTAGAATCTCCTCTCTTTTCTACAACTTCTAATTTCAAAGGAAACTGGAATTATCTAACTGATCAGAGACATTTAAATGAAATATTTAAAGCATTGTTAGCTATTGGAAAACCATATGGGATAGGCATATTTGATGTTGGAGAAGGGATCTTATAACCTAACAATCTCCATATAAGCCTATGTACTTATCTTAAATCAGTAGGTTGGCTGTTAGGGAATTCAGTTTCAATTCTTAAATACTATTCATCTATGTGGATGTTTTAGAAATGCCAATAAGGAAACTCATACGACCAGGAAAATGTTTAAATATATGCCCACCAAAGAATTAGATTCTCGCTGCTTTTTTCCCCATATTCATATTTGCCTACAACCAAAGCAATGAATGAATACATACTATCTATGAAGTACCCATACTGTATTTCTAGAATGATTAATTAACAATGATTTTTTTCAGTTTTTAATAGTTAACTTTTGCTTAAGTGATTCCTGGGAAAAGTCTTGTTAATTAATAAGCTCTTCATTGTCTTCTTTATTATAATACTTTCCTCACAGTTGAGCTATGCTACAAAAATACACTGAAAATATTTATAGACAGGGTATTGATTTGAGGAATTTGAAGGAATTTTGTCTTAATAAAGAGTACTCACTATTAGTGGCATTTCAAAAATTCTGTTTGGCCTCAGGTAACGGGTCACAATTTTTCTCATGGCAGCTTTCATATCCCTGTTCCTTAGTGTGTAAATAATGGGGTTTAGAATGGGAGTGAAAACGGTGTAAAATATGGCAAGAACTTTATCCACAGGATAGGTGGTAAAGGGCCACACATAGATTAAGATGCAAGGTCCAAAGAATAATATTACTACCATGACATGAGCAGCCAGTGTAGAAAATGCTTTGGTCATTGCAGCCGAAGACTTGAGCCAGACCATGACAAGAATAATGATGTAAGAACTGACCAAGAAAGAGAAAGTGCTTAGGGAAAGAATCCCACTATTGGCCACAATGAGTATTTCAATGATGTAAGAATCCAGGCAAACCAGTTTAGCCACTCGAGGAAGGTCACCAAAAAAGCTATCTACTACATTAGGTCCACAAAAGGGTAGGTTCACGGTAAATGATAACTGGCTTAATGTGTGCACCAAGCCCACCGCCCAGGCGGTTATTACCAAGACAGTACATGTCCTTCGGCTCATGATAATCACATAGTGTAAAGGTTTGCATATGGCTACATATCCGTCATAGGCCGTGGAAACAAGTAGCACCGTCTCCCCTCCAGTAAAAAAATGAATGAAGAAAATTTGGGCTATGCAGCCACTGAAGGATATGGTCTTGTGTTCACTCAGAAAAATCTGTTATCGTCTTAGGGGTAGCAAAAGAAGCCTGACACATGTCAACAAAGGAAAGGTTTCCCAAGAGGAAGTACATGGGGGAGTACAGGCTGATATCAGAAGTCACTGTGATGATAATGAGAAGATTTCCGAGCACAATCACCACATACAACACCAAAAATAAAACAAGAAAAGTTGGAGTTCCTGAGAACTAGAGAGTCCCAGCAATATAAACTCAGACACCACTGAAGAATTGACCTTATCCATGAGTCCAGACTTCAGATTTGTTCTGAAACAACCCTAAATGAGAAAATAGAAAAGGATCCGAATTATTAACCAAGAGCATTTTTTTTACATAAAGTATTCTGGAGATCTCAGCTATGTGTATTTGCTGAACACTAAATTTTGAAGAGACTGCGTATACTATATCGGGATAGTAATAAGGAACGTATAAGAATGTCCAAATAGTGCTTAATAATATGATCAGTACCATTAGAACTCCTTGATTTTTAAACAGTCTTTATCTATTACACAGTAGTAGATGAGCTCATCCATGTGTTAACTCATAATAAGACTAGAGAAGTGACTTAAAGCCCCGCTCCACAGGTTTTATAGACTGGCAAAAACAATTTACATCTGTAGGTCTGGTGGTCATTTTCCAACATTAATTATAGTAAGTCTTTAAGTACAACATTCTCCTTAACTCTCCAAGAGATATTTATGGCTTGATATTTATTATGTAATGTTTATTGTAAAATCACACTGATTGCTTAACTTTACACAAATGACTTTTCTGAGATTTGATTTCATATCTTCTAAAAGATCGGAGGTGTAAAAATATCTACTTTACAGAAGGTTTTCAAATTTAAGCAGGATAATTTGTGACAGTCTACTATCAAAATAATTGTATTATGATAGATGTCCTTAATATGTTAAATACATCCATGTTAATAAAAATGTACTTTACTGCTGCTGCAGAAGTCATTTACAGTTTAGACAATCCCTACAAGGAAATACTGTTGAGTGCATATTATTCCAGTTTATGGCTTCAACTCAGCTTGTCAAATAACTTATTTAAATGAATATTGTGACTTACCTGAATTGTCTAAAATTCATTTTGACTTAATTATCCAGGAGCAGAACTGAAATTTTCCTGTGAAAGTTAGATTTTGGTTCACTTATGTTCCCCCTTCCTGCATTCTCCATTAACGTCTTAAAATATGTTTATAATTAATAACAAAATAGAAAAGTTATTTTAGTATTTTTTATGTAGAGAGGAAAAGTTATCAGATTATGAACTTTTCATGCTATTAAAAGCATTTAGAAATTTGTATCTTATTTTGAAACACCCCTGCTATATAAATCTATTTCCTTTAGCTGGAAAAAACTTTCAAGAAATCCTATTTTAGGAAATTGTATTGGTTCTGATAATTAACTGCTGACAATAGTAATAGGAAGAGACCTAAGGAACTGATGTGATTCTAACCCCTTATAAGAGCTCAAACGCCTTCCACTGTCTATTCATTTCATAAGAGAAGCCAAAGTTTTTCTTATGTTTCTAGGATACAGACCTACTCATTTAGATAGACACAATTGCAATCCAGACAAGGAAGCTCTCTGGTAAAGAATAATTTCATGCACTCTCATTGGAAGAGTGTTCAAAGAAGCATTTCATTTGTTCACATTTTGGATTTACATTATATACATTATTGTAGACTCTGAAACTAGAGCAAAAAATAAGATGACCCATAATAGTTGTTTGAAGCATTGGTAACAACAAATCAGTGTCTATAATACATAAGAGGGCATGATTTAGAAGTATAATGTAATTATTTTGTCATTTTATCTCAAGTATGACTCTATTTGCTCAAGTTCATGAATTTATTGTGTAAAATGATCAACTCTACTTAATGAAAATTTTTATTGTATGAATGCCATATATATAAACTTTAAAAAGAGGCATATTTCTTGTGAATAATGTATAAAAATTTTTTATATTTGCAAAGTAAGGGAAAACAAAGCTTAGATTTGTTGAGACTGTAACAGGTAGCATCTACTGTATGTATGTTTTGTCAAGTGATCTTTACAACAGTTCTGTAGAGAAAGCATTATATTTTCCTCTAAAACTGCATAGGAGATTAGACTGGTTTAGTAATTTCTAGTAAGACAGCTAGTAAGGATTGTAAAATCTTAGTGAAGATTTTAAATCATATAATAAAAAAACATTAACATTCCCTAACACCAGTAAAATTCTAAGCACCTTATATATATTAATTGGCTCTTCCTGTAACACTGCATGGTAAATACACTTACAAATTCTATCTTACAAATAATAAATCAGAGTTACAGGGATAAGGAGTAACTTTCCTGAAGTTACATAGCTGGAAAGTCATTGAACTAAAAGTTAAACCCTGGCCTTTGACTCCATGACTGGCTCTCATCAACACTACACTACACTGTTTTAGACTTGAATGTCATAAAACTCATGCCATTTACACTATGCTACAATTGGAAAACCCCTCAATATATGCTCTTGAGTCTAATCTTTCCACCTACTGTAAGGCATTGCTTCTTCAGTTATGCCAGTTTCCCAACCTTGGCACTACTGACATTTGGATTTGAATAATAATTATTGGTTGAGGAGGACTGACTTCGTGACTGCAGGACGTTCAGGGGCACCACTGGCGTTACCCATCAGATGCCAGTTACACTTTCCCCCAAGTCATGACAGCCCAAAATGTCTCCAGCCATTACTAAATGTCCAGTTGTGAGCAGGTGAAAAATCACCCCCAGTGAGAACCACTGAGTTAAGCTATCTTTAGCTTGCATTTTTAGTCTCTCCTTGTTTCATTTAAACTTTCTATCTACTGACAACTGCTCGGACTGACTCATCAGAGACATTAAAAAAAAAAACTCACCTGGACCTTCTACCATCTTTAGTTGTTTTTTCCTCTTAATCATTCCTCTTTTTTAAAATAAATTTCTTATAAGAGTGTCTGCATGTTTCCCCTCTGATTCCTTCCCACTTCTTAGACTTTTAACATGCTTAACTATATATTTTGTTGCCACAATCAGAAAAACGACTTTATTCAATGTTTTCAAAGACCAGGTGATGATAGTTTTTTATACTCTTAAGAAAAACAACTCCAGGCTTTCTTCTCAGAATTTTTAATTTTAGCTTCTTTCATCCATGCTACTGCCCCTCAGGAGTAGATTCCCATTGAAATTCTAGCCGATGGGTTACCAGTTTATTTTCCTTTGCCTTCTGTACTTCCTGTACTCTTCTTTATTTCTCACTTATCCTTATTGCTCTCTCTTTCTCTTGCTCTCCTCCTTGTTCTCTCCCTTTCTTGGGCATTCTATTCATCTCTATAACGTCAGTTATCACCTTGGTGTGATACCTCTAATTTTGCAGCACTGTTCCTCTCCACACAAGATTACAAACTGTTCCTGTCTCTAGTGACTAGGGATGAAGAACTGCCCTCCTGACTCATTGCATTCTCCTTGTCTGGGATCTGTAAGTAAAAAAATATTTGGACTTGTTTCCTATTGTGGTGGTGTACTGAATTTGTCTCTTTTATCTGAAGAACGAGAAACCACCCCAGGTTGGGCTTTTCCTGGAATGCTGGAAAGAACACAAGCTCAGGTTCCCAAGGCCAGAGCAATAGCCAACAGGCATAAGCTAGACACAGGTCAGAAAAGAGCCACAAGGGCATCTGCCTACACAAAGTTTCCTGTGTGAGGAACCTGCTGGTAGTGAATAGAACGACTAGACATTAGGCCTTCCACCAGGTAAAAGAAGTGTTCCATGAAAGGCACACTGGAAACATGCACATCTAGCTTCCTTTCATTTCCCATTAGGGCAGGGTGGTTAGCTGTTCTGTTACTGGAATCTCACTTTAGCTGGGGCTCTCAAAACACAAGGCAAGAGTTTTTGTGTATATACCACTTCCCTTCCACACTGAAGCTCCTTGAATTCCCTTGTTTCTTATATATCACTCACAGAATTTGGTATAGAGATGTGCATGGAGTAATTCTCCATACATTTGTTTTAGTGTTAATTTAAATATATTTGTCATTCACTCAATATTTTTCACCTATATGAACTCCATCTTTACATAGAACAGAAATATTTTATCTCATTGGTAATTCAATATCATACTTAAATTGTGAAAATCAGTGCCAATAAGTGACCAGAAAATGCAAAGGGAATAAAAAAAAATTAGTTTGAATTGCAGCACAGAGAAACTAGTTTGTTCGTTGTTTTGGAAATAAACCATATTTTGGTTACCAAGTTTTTAAAAAATGATAGAAACAATAAGATACTTTAAAAAGAAGAAATTTTCACTCTACTTCTATAGACTTAAATAAATCCTGTCTTATCTATTTTAAGTGGAAAGTAAAATAAGTTACTGACTATTTATTAACCATAAACCTATAGCCTGAATTTGGTATTTAACATTCCCATGGTTTTGTAAAGTAGTTTCACTCTACAAAGAATTATAAGGGCTTGGCTTGAATGTTTATTTATTTTTTTTAGACCATAGGTAGGAATGTCATAATAAACTGTCCTAAGTACAACCAGTTTTTCATAATCTCCCCAATGATCTCCCAAAGTATACTTCACCTTCTTACATAACTTCTCACAAGCTCTCCCAAGCATACTAAGACACAAACACATGAGCATCTTCATCTTGACTCACATTCTTTCACTGCTAATACATGTTTATCCCATTTAAAAAATTTTCTCTAAAGTACAACATAGCAATTGAATAGAATATATAACTGGACTTAATCTATTTTTAATGATTTATTTGTCAGGTATATCCTACCTGTTATAATGCATATCAGAAATGTAAATTGAATTCTTCAGTTTTTCTACTGTGGAATTAATCTCTTCTGAGTAGTGATATTTATAGGTGTCTTTTTCTTATATCAAATTGGAAGAGTGCCATGAGTTTAAGTAATCCATTGAAGCTTTTGAGATTTAGCAATATATAGCCAAGGTTCATCTTCCAGTGGGGATTATTAATACCTTTTACTCGCACAACGTTCCCATTGGAAAACAAATAACATCTCACATTGTTGACAACTATAATAAGGACCATAGGACAATAGGAGAAAGGGGAGAGTCATTCAGCCCTTGGACAGTATATAGAGTGAAGGATACTATGAATTCTATACAGTTGAACCTGCTACTCCAGGGAAAATGTGTAGAAAAGTACATTCATTTGCCTAAATGAGAAATACTTTGATTTGAGAATGGAAGGACATAGTGTGTCCTTGCTATTTGAGCATGTGTGATGTGGAAGAAAGGGTGATTAATTAGAACGTAGAGAATATGGGTTATTGTTTTCAATTCTACCAGTAACTAAGAACAAGTTATTCAACAAATCACTTTTAATTCACTGAACCTCAGTTTACTCTAGTACAGAATGATTTTTAATATTTCAAGGACACTGAAAATAAAGAGAACTATTAAATGATTATCTTTGTATACAATGTTAAACTTTGTCAAATCTTAATATTTTATATTTCCTCACTTTTTATTAGGAATAAAACATTATTAAAGGAAGTATATTTTACAACACCCCATACCAATTTTCCAGGGTTAATTCATAACCTGAGTTTGGTATTTAATTTTTCTATGTGTTTTATAGTTTTACTACTTAGGGATGTATCAAAAAAAATATATGCAGCCTATATTTGTATATGTATTTAGTTCATATAAGTAGCATCATTCTCTTTGTATTATTTTACAACGTACTATTTTTTACACTGATTAATTTGTTTCTAACAGTTATCAATAGTGATATACATAGTTTTAGTTCATTCATTTTAGTGCTGTAGGATCTCCATTGCATGAGCATAATACATTGTATATTTGTCCATTATCGGTGAATAGGCATCTAGGTTGTTTCTAATTCTTGCTATTATGAACAACATTAAAATAAACATTTGCATGAATAAATATGTGCTGGAAGTTCTCCAGAACGTATGACTGGAAAGTAATTGCTAAGTCATAAAGAATACAAATCTTCAAAACTGCTAGACATTTCCAAATTATTCTACAAAACTACTTAAGTTTGTGTTTAGTTTTGGTTGTCAATTTAGTGTTCCTCTATTTGAACGCACCCTTTGATATGTACTCTTTGGTGAAAAACAGAATTCCTTTAAGTATATCTCCTTTAAAATGAACACAACATTAAGCTTTTTCAGAGGAAGGTGGCACACTGCAGGAGGCACACTGCAGGAGGCACACTGCAGGAGGAAGAAACTCTTAACAGTTCAGGCACAGGCTGGGGACAACAATGTGGGTGGAAGGATATCCAAGGAAGCTTGCCCCAGCTATGTGTTCAAAATATGGTCTTTCTGCAACCTGGTAGCCACTGTCTGGCGACAACACTTCAGTAGTCCTATACAAAGAAACCAGGGCCTCCCACTCTAAAGGGTTCCTTCCCATACCAGCCTGTAGATTCCTTTGGTTTATGACTTGCTCACATCCATTCCTTTGGTTTCTGATCACTTGTTCATAGGCTCGCACAATGGGTGATCTCTTGCTTGCTCAGCAGTTGAAGAACAGTTCTGACCCGGCCAAACCAGTGAGCTTTACTGACCAGTGAGATGAACCACACCTTCTTCAGTGAAACTTGAACAACTCATTTCAAATTCTCCTTTCTTGGGTACTCTCCCTTTGTTGTGAGGCACTCTTTAGAGTATCCTTATATCCTACAGTTACTTTTTTTATAGCTAATAATTCTTTATACCAAACTATTTAAACTGCTGTGAGATTTCTCTCTCCAGATTGAACCCAAACTGCTGCACACTACTACCAACGCATGTGAAATTAAAAATTTATTAAAATCTTTAATGATGATTATGGATATCTTTTTTTTGTAATTTTCCACTTTATACATTTTTTTTTTAAGTTGGAGTCTCACTCTGTCACCCAGACTGGAGTGCAGTGGCTGCTCCAGGCCACCGCAGCCTCGACCTGCTGGGCTCCAGCGATCCTTCCGCCTCAGCCTTCCAAGTACCTGGAACTATAGGTGTGCGCTACCACACTCAGTTGATTTTTTATTTATTTATTGTAGAGATAAGGTCTCACCAAGTTGCCCAGGCGGGTCTCGAACCCACGGGCTCAAGCAATCCACTCACCTCAGCCTCCCAAGGTGCGGGATTATAGACTGAGCCACCGAGCCCGGCTCACTTTATACATTTTGAGGCTGTCATTCAGTTTATGTAAGTTTAGAAGGGCAATGTAATCCTGGAAAACATTTCCTTTAATGGTATAGTCTCACCTAAATTATGTCTAATATGCTCAACATAACTAGTAACTAGGTAAATACATATTAAAAATAAAATGAGATACAACTACACATCTGTTAGGAAGGCTAGATCAGGTATCAGTCAGTGACCTGATAGGAACTGGACCCCACTCTGCCTTCTGTCAGATCAGCAGCAGCACTGGATTCTCACAGGAGAAGGAACCCTATTGTGAATTGTGCATGTGAGGGATCTAGGTTGTGAGCTCCTTATGAGACTCCAATACCTGATCACCCCCACACATGGAAAAATTGTCTTCCACTAAACCAGTTCCTGATGCCAAAAATGTTGGGGACCACTGGGCTAGACCACAATGCTGACACCAGAAAAGAAACAGCAGAATAATACAGGATTGATGAGTCATCCAATCTAAAAAAACAAGATGATGGTGATAACTTTGTGGGATGAGTTATGATTGAAAGCACAATGCATGCATAGCATGAATAGGATACCTCCACAGAGTAATTGTTGACTCCTCTGTCTCTATTTTTTTATTATCTGGACCTCATATTCAAGTGTGATATGACCTTGGAGGAAGTCAGGGTGGTACACAGCATTGGATGTCTTGGTCTATTCTGGACACTATAACAAAATACCATAAATTGGGTAGCTCATAAACAACAGGAATTTATTTCTCACAGTTCTGGAGGCTGAGAAGTCCAAGATTTAGGTGCCAGTAGATTAAGTGCCCAGTAAATACCTACTTCGTAGTACATGGATAGACTTTTTGCTGTAACTTCACATGGCAAAAGAGAAAGAGCTCTCTCAGGTCACTAGACACATTTATGAGTTCCACCCTCACAACCTAATCACCTCTCAAAGCCTCCACATTTTAATATCTCAATTTGGGGGTAAGAATTTAAATGTGTAAATGGGATATAACTTATTAAGACCATAGCATTGAGGGAACATAAACATTTAGCTCATAGTCCTGGGGTAGCATCATAATGTGCTTCCAGACCATAATGTTCATTGTTCTGAATAACTTCATGTCTTGTTCCTTTTTTATACAGTTTTATTACCAAGTGTCTAAAACTTCATCTGCTCTTATACAATTGTTTTATGAATTTAAAACTAATTAACTGTAATAATTTGGTGTCAACATAACTTAGGGGCAAAATGGTAAGAGAACAAATGATACTTGACTAACATTTTATAAAGTTTTGAAAAGTGTGATATGTCAAGTCCCTTAAGTTTTGTATGTGAGGAGAAAAAATAAAATAAAGGTGGATTTGAAAAGTGCTAATTGTGTGTAGAAGTGTTCCCTTTTCGCCACACCCTCTTCAGCAGCTGTTATTTTTTGACTTGTTGATAATTGCCATTCTGACTGGGGTTAGGTGGTATCTCAGTGTGGTTTGGATTTGCATCTCCCTGATGATTAGTGAGGTTGAACATTTCTTCATGTGTCTGTTGGCTGCTCGGATGTCTTCCTTTGTGAAGTGTCTGTTCATATCTTTTGCCCATTTTATAATGGGGTTGTTTGTTTTTTTTCTTTTCAGCACATTTGAGTTCCTTGTAGATCCAGGATGTTAAGCCTTTGTCAGAACTGGTGTTGGTAAATATTTTTTCCCAGTCTGTAGGCTGTCTCCCTGCTCTCTTGATGGTTTCTTTGGCTTTGCAGAAGCTTGTCAGTTTAATAAGGTCCCACTTGTCTATCTTCTCTCTTACAAACTGTGTAAACTAGTGCAACCTCTGTGGAAAGCAGTGTGGCGATTCCTAAAAGCTCTAAATACCAACCTCCCATATGACCCTGCAATTCCCCTACTTGGAATATATCCTGAAGAACACAAATCACTCTATAAAAAAGATACCTGCACACGCATGTTTATTGCAGCATTGTTCACAATGGCAAGAACCTGGAAACAACCATGCTGCCCGTCAAAAGAGGACTGGATTTTAAAAATGTGGTATATATACACGATGGAATACTACACAGCCATAAAAAAGAACAAAATTATGAATTTCGCAGCAACCTGGATGGAACTAGAGTCTATAATACTGAGTGAACTCTCACAGAAACAAAGATCTGAGTATCACATGTCCTCACTCATATAATGGACCTTAAACATCCAATGCAATACTATACAAAAATGACTAACAGTACTGGGAAACTATGGGGGGGAGAGAGATGGGATCAACAGTAGCAAATATCTGTCTGGGAACGGGGAAACTCCCCATATCAACAGGGTGCCTGAATGAAAGGCAATTGTATACCTAACCCTTAACTGTACCCCACAACTTCATAATTAAAAATAAATAAATAATTTTTTTAAAAAAAGAAAAGTGCTAATTACATTTTTTAAAATTATTTTTTGTATGCTGGATTAGACTAGGGATCTTTTTAACAGCAAGCACAAACATTTTCAATTTAAAGTTTATAAAGATAATAATATTAATGAGATTGATTTTTAGTGCTAGAGCCAAATCTTATAAAATACTTGGAGTGTTTTAGACCATATAATAAACATAGCATTTTTAGCTTAGCCAGTAAATATAAACCTAAATTTTTGTAAAATAAATTTAATACAATATAAATTTTACAATAAGCTTATGAAACACCTGTTATTGATTTCAAGTCGCAAATATAAGTAAATTAACTATAAACTATAAAACTATAGCAAATATAAGTATTATTAGAGAATACATGATTGTATATAGGCTGCTTTATAAATATGCAACAAAGAATATGCATTGCATTTATTATTTTAAATAAATAAATGAGTTTTTAAAAACAATAGTGATGACAAGAAAAGGACAAATCTATGTTTCTTCAAGTTTCCACATGTTTACTTAATTAAACAAATCTAGTCCTGTGAGAGAAGACTGGGAAGACAGCTTTATCTTACATACCGGACCTTCAGTTTATATATTGTTGATTTCATCTCTTTGTTTCTCAATGTGTAGATAAGGGGATTTAATATAGGCGTGAAAACCGTAGAGAACACAGAAAATACTTTATCCACTGGTAAGTTGCTGAAAGGCCAGGCGTAGATGAAGATACAAGGTCCAAAAAAGAGTGTTACCACAGTGATATGGGCAGTCAGAGTGCTGCGGGCCTTGGCCATACCTGCTGAGGAACGTTGCCGCACAGTAACCAGGATGACAGTGTAGGAGATCAACAAGAGCAAAAATGAAGTCATTCCCATAAGACCACTATCCAAAAGCATCAACACTTCAGGGATATAAGTATCTGTGCAGGCAAGTTTGATGACCAAAGTAAGATCACAATAATAACTGTCTACTATATTTGGGCCACAGAAGGGCAAGTTTACAGTGAAAGCCAACTGGCTCAAGGAGTGAATAACCCCAATGACCCAAGAGCCTACCACCAGGCCTGTGCACTTGCATGAGTTCATGATGATTACATAATGGAGAGGTTTGCATATGGCTACATACCTGTCATATGCCATGGCTACAAGGAGCACCATCTCACCACCAGCAAAGACATGGAGCAAGAATATTTGGGCCATGCAGCCCTCAAAGGAGATGATCTTGGGCTCATGAATAAAATCATGGATCATCTTAGGGGTTGCATAACTGCCCAGAAAGACGTCAAGAACAGAAAGGTTACTCAGCATAATGTACATGGGTGTATGCAAGGCAGGTTCAGAAATCACTGTAAAGATAATGAGGAGGTTGCCTAGTACAATGGCAATGTATAAGAAGTTGAAAAGCATGAAGAAAATATACTGGAGCTCCCAGGAACTGCAGAGTCCCAGCAACACAAACTCAGCCACCCTAGAATAATTTTGCTGGTCCATGGCATCAGGCTACAAGAGACATGTCTACAAAGAAAAACAATAGTGGATTATTTTCAAGAACAAGAAAAGGAGACCACAATCATAAAACATTCCATTTTAATTTAAAATGTTGTCGAATTATTATATTAGGAAATGTATTGTGTGTAATTTTGACACATATATTTCTCTCAATTATCTTTATTTTTATTTTTTATTTTTGAGTTGGAGTCTCACTGGGTTGCCCAGACTGGAGTGCAGGGGCCGCTCCCCGCCACCACAGCCTCGACCTGCTGGGCTCCGGCGATTCTTCCGCCTCAGCCTTCCAAGTAGTTGGAATTACAGGCATGTGCTACCACGTCCAGCTGATTTTTTTTTGATTTATTGTAGAGATGAGGTCTCGCTGCTCAGGCGGGTCTCGAACCCGCGGGCTCAGGCAATCCACTCACCTCAGCGTCCCAAAGGTGCGGGATTACAGGCTGAGCCACCGAGCCCGGCTCAATTATCTTTATTAACAAATAACAGCTATAAGGTGAAACCATAGTAAGTCAACAAGTTCATCTTATGTTTGTGGGTTAAATCTGATTGTAAACAAATAATTCATGTGCATCACAAACACTTAAATGAAGAAGAGATGTTAAGATATTTCGATTATTTTACCACCTTCCTTGCCCTGCTGCTTTTTATTATCCACTCAGGATTATCTACAAGCAGCTTCAATTATTAGAGAATTCTCAAGAGACTACATTTACAAGAAAAATGCCATTTCCCCTAGTTTTATTTTCCTCTCTCTATTTGCCTCTGTCTTTTCTCTATTATATAATACCTGCAACCTGCTATGATGTCATGGACTAAAGCATTAAAACTGTTTAATCCATATTGTCTCTGCAGTCACGTTAACTTATTTTTTTAAAGATGTGGGGTACAATTCAGGATTAGATATACAAATGGTCATTGCACAGGTAAAGTTTAGGCCTCACTTTGTTCCCCACTTTGCCTGGTTTGAAATCCGGTACCCTTATTAATGAAGTGTGCCCCCCCACCCGCCAGTTTCCCTCTCTTATTATATTATGAAAATTATTCAGGGTCCGCTTATGAGTGAGAACAGGTGGTACTCAGTTCTTTGTTTCTGTGTTAGATCACTGAGTATTATAGATTCTAAATCTATCCAAGTTGGTGCAGAGTTCATAATTTTGTGATGATTCCTAGAATATCTAAAAAGTGACCTTTCAAATGACCCAGTAATCCCTTCTGGGAATATACCAGAAGAACTCAAATCACTCTATGAAAAAGATACCTGTACATGCATGTTTATTGCAGCATTATTCACAATAGCAAAAACATGGGACCAACTGTGCTGCCCATTGAAAGGGAACTGGATTTTTTTAAATGTGGTACATATACACGATGGAATATTATGCAACTGTTTGTTTTAAAGTCCCTTGCAGCTAATACAGTACTATAGGGGAATAAGTAAGCTGAGAAGGCCTGTGTGCCAGTACAGAATATCAGTAGGTAAGGTGATAATGGCCAGGAAATGCAAAAATTATGCTTAGTTTAGGTGGTTGGAAAATAGATTATTTGAGGGTCAACTGTGACATTTTACTGACCAGTGTAGAAAACTTCCAAAAGAAGTCATTAAATCCAGAATATAGATTTGTAGGTTTTGACTAGAACTTCTCTGATCTAATCATATAAAGTGTATTATGTCTAGCAAATTAATACTTTCTCATGAGCAAAAATTGAAATAATAAACAAATAACAATTATGGTAATAAACAATGGAAATAATAAGCAATTTATGAATAGATTGCAAAGTGATCATTCTGCCTAAGTTTTCACTGAAGCTTCTTTGGAAGAATGAAGAAAAAGCTTTCAAGGTGATAGACAGTGACTTAAAAATTCATTTTAAAAGTTATATTTAAAGAAGTGCAAATCTTTTAGTTGACAAGAAGAAAAGTTTTTGTTTGTTGTTTGCTTTGTTTTTTGTTTTTTTAAGAAAGAGGGTTCTCACATTTCATTTTCCATGTTATATTTAGAAATGATAAGTGCCAGTCTCTGTAAAAGAGTATGAACAAAAAGTGTGGTGTCCGTTTGAAAACTATTTAGTTTGAGAATATTTTTATATGGCAAATGTGAGCATTAAATGGTTTACAACAGCCTGGTAAGAAAGAGATTGCTGTCCTCATTTTTTACATAAGAAAATTGGATCTCAAAATGTTAACTAATATGTTTAATATTATATAAAAATCAAGTAACAAATTCAGAACTTCATTCCAGGTCTTCAGAGCTCTTTTCACAATCCTCCATAGTAGAGTCTATCCTGGAATCTAAAAGGTATAGTTTAAGATTATGTAACATATGGAATCACCCAGAGTGGAAAATGAGAGAATTGATCTAAGGAGTTGATATAAATCCTCGCTGACTATTACTAAATGTGCTATAAATGAACTTCATAAGAGTAGCCTTTTCTAGTTTAAAAAGGTGATATATATTTTGTTTTCCAAGATGGTTAAAGCTTTTTGCTTAAATGGATAAATTTTAGTTTGTAATTTATTAGCATGAAAAATTTTATTTCCTGATAATTTTTCTACATGGTCTACGACTATATTACTTTTTACAAAATTTCTTCCAAAAACTTGAGTATAAAGTATGATCAAGTAAGTGAACAATGCATGCTATGACAAAATACTTGAAATGAAGTCATTAGAAAGGATTTTAGATCAACATTTGTCACTGGGGTGAGTAGAAGCATCCGTTCTGGGGCACTTGCTTGTGGGGAAGAAATTTTTTTATCTAAAAGGAACACGCATGACTAAAAACAAAGACATTGGAAATAAAACTATTTTTGACCATATCGTTTAATTAACAATCGCCTATCAAATGACAACTTTTTTTAGTGAAAATGAATGAGAGATATTGAATTATGAGCAGGGGAGAAAGAAAAATTCCAGAAATTCTCATGCAGCATGGCATTGCACCCCCCTACTAAATGCCATTTTTGTCTAGGTGTTGGACTGGGCTAGTATGAATTGACACAAATGTAAAATGATGTTAGCATGCTTTTATAGTCTCCACTATTCAGTGTCTCAGGAGAAAAGCCTTAGAACCAAAATAAAATAAAATAAAAATAAAAAGCCCAGTTAAAATATTACAGAAATCAATGCTTAAACAATGTTCTGTCACACTCAAAGTCAAATTTTATGCTGTAGACTAAGATGGATGTAAATATTTTGTAGGTGAGTCAAAGAAATTTGACCAAAACTGCAAGTCCAAGTCTCATAAACCAGTGTTCCATGTTTCATTCTCTAGTTAAAGGTCTTATCATTTTCTAAAAAGAAAATCCCAACTAAATGGCTCAAGCAAGTGGTTAACACAAGATTAAAAAAATACCTGATTCAGTTATCCACAGATTTTGAGAAAGATCAAACAAGTTTTAGCTTCTCTCAGGTCAAATGCTCCTATAAGAGTGCCATATCAGATGTACGAAGTACACATGCTTTTGAGTTAAAATAGCAAAACTATAATAAATATTGACTTATTAAACCTCCTCTTCTCAGCCCTCTATTTTGTCCTTTTCCCGTTTTATCATTTCTCGTTTAAGTTATGTCTGAGGATTGAACAGGGACCATGGAAGGATAAATGTGTCCTGCGGGGATTCCTTGTCATTAAGCATGTGCAGGCTTATTGAATAGGAAAAAGGGCCCAAGTCCAGAAAGCCAAATCACTTTCAGCTTTCTCTCAACTCCCAGATCTCTTCCCCTTGTCATAGCTCTCCCAATTACATGCATTATATTTCTAATATAGTATTTAGGGAAATTTTTACAGGTAGAGATTTCTTAAACACTACATGAATGGAATTGAATTTTTAGTGATAATACCCACCTTTCTGGGAAAAATGAAAAAACTCAGTAAGAATACCTGGCACCATCAATAGGAATGTTTAATAAATTCATTTTTAAAATTTTGAATATTAAATAACATAGACAAGACATTTAATATAAACATATTTGCATTCTTAACACAAGCTCTACTTAATTAAGGTGTGTTATATAAGAATACCATAATAGATTTGTGCCAATTCTTATTTTGGATTTTTGAATATAGATTATAAGTATAATATTTTTGCATTAAAATTTTTTTTTTGCTTTAAAGATGTGGGGTACAATTCAGGGTTAGGTACACAAACGTTGATTATGCAGGTACCCAAGTTGATGAGGTGTGCTCCTCCCTCCCCTAGCAGTTTCCCTCAACTGCCAATCCCACCTCCCCTCCCCTGGCAGTTTCCCACTACTGTCAATCCCTTTCTTATAGTATTATGACAATTATTCAAGGACCACTTATGAGTGAGAATATACAGTACTCTGTTCTTTGTTTCTGTGATACATCACTGAGTATGATCAACTGTAAATCCATCCAAGTTGCTACAAAGTCCATATGTTTGTCCTTTATGGCTGCATAATATTCCATTGTGTATATGCACAATTATTTTTTATCCAGTACAGCTTCAATGGGTAGCATGCTTGGTTCTGTGTTTTTGCTATTGTGAATAGAGCTGCAACAAACATACCTGTGCAGGTATCTTTTTTGTAGAATGATCTGCAGTCCTCTGGGTATATTCCCAATAGGGGAATTGCTGGGCCATATGGAAGGTTAATTTGTAGTTCTTTCAGAAATCACCATACTGTCTTCCAAAGAGGTTGCATTTGTTTTCATTCCCACCAGCAGTGTAGAAACACTCCTTTTTCTCTGCATCCTCACCAGCATCTGTTGTTGTTTTAATAATGATGGCCATTCTTACTAGGGTTAGGTGGTATCTCAATGTGGTTTTGATTTGCATTTCTCTAACGATTAGTGGGGCTGAGCACTTTTTCATGTGTCTGTTGGCCACCTGTATATCTTCTTTTGAGAAGTGTCTATTCATGTCTTTTGCCCACTTTTTAATGGGGTTTTTTTTTTTTCCTTTTGGGATGTATGAGTTCCTTGTAGATCCTAGATGTTAGGCCTTTGTCAGATACACAGTTG